AGCAAAATGGCACAGAGACGTGACACAGAGCCGGCGACGGCAGGATGACCGCCCGTGGGGCTCCGGCGTGCGACCCGGCGCAGGGCCCATCGCGAGGGGTCGGGGGAACCTCTGCTCTCATCCCAAGGGGAGGGACCACGTGGGGCACCTGATACCCCAGAAACAACCGCGCCCAAAGAGCAGACACGTCAGCAAAGTGAAGACGGACGCCGCGGCAGTGCGTGTCCCCCGAGAGCCATCTGGGCCGGGACCCCGCAGCACAAGGTGCCGCAGGAGGACGGGGCACGGGGACGCAGCTTGTCCCCCAAAAGTGCAGGTTGAGTGAGTGAGCCTGGGCTGAGGCCCTGACACTGCTCCTGGGCGCCGGTGCAGAGATGCTCAGGAATGGTCACTGCAAGCCGAGTGCCACCCTCAGGCCGGGCGGCCCCCGCACTCCCTCCGGGACCACTGGCTCAGCAGCAGGGCCAGAGGGGACACAGCCCGCCTGGACCTCAGGGCCAGCGAGGACCCAGACTCAGCGGCCTCGTGCCCCCCGACCACGGGGACTGCCTCTGCCAGGAAGACGTGAAGGAGATGCTCACGGGGCTCGTCACCCAGACAGGGCAGGTGGCCCGCCTGGGACTGAGTGCGAAGACCAAGGCGGAGGGGACTCAGACAAGGCCGACGGGGGCCGCACGCGGCAGGGGTGGGCGCACGGCCAATGGCCGGAAAGCCGGGGACAAACTTCCCATGAGTGCGTGCCAGCCAGAGGTCCCCCGCCTGCCACTTATCAGTCAGGGCGTGAAAAATATACGTTGCATAAATCGTCTACACCATCTCACTGGTGTGAAAATTGCCTTAAGTCATAAGTGTTTGAGCTTTTTCTTTGCCCTGAGTCTGTAGAAGTCGAATCTGTGGTTAGCGTGTCAGGGGCGGGAACACCAAAGGCACAGTTAATTTACACTTTCTTCTAGGGCATTTGCTAAAAAGTGCATAAACTTAAATTGCAGAAAACAGAAATGTAGAAGTAGTATGCTTTAAAAAAAATGTGTTTAAAATCGTAAGCTTTCCCCCGAAAGTTTTAAACGTGCACTATTTTTTAATAATAAATGTACTATTGACTCATAAGGGCTCCTTCCTAACGGAGGTCCCCTGGTACGATGGCTAAATCTTCTCCAACGGCAAACGCACCTGTTTCATTTAGTTCAGAGTGAAACTGCTTTAAGTCACTCGAGAGAGTCACCCAGACCGGAAGCAGTGCCTTTAATAGTGAAGGGACAAGGACCTGTCCACACGAAGGAAACCAAGACGCGGTTACTGAGGTGAACGCGGCTGCCCGTCCTGGCGCTGGCAGCGGATTTCACGAATAGCGAGAGCGGAGCCAACAGCACCTCCAGCTCGTTCACACGACTTCGCCGTCCTCCGAGGCTTCGCTCTTCACGTGACGCTTCTGCACGGGGCACTTCTCAATCCCTTCAGGAATTTCATGGCCGCTTATAAATGCTATAAGGAAGCTATTCACGGTCCTCCAGGGGCAAGCCCTGCCCCCTCCCCTCCGGGAGAGAATGAGCTTTTCTCCGCCTGTGAAAAGCGCTTTCACACGTGGGGGTGTGTGTGTGTGTGTGTGTGACAAGGGACGGGGCTTAATCTCAGCGATTAAAATGCTAATGTTTTATTTGAAAGCGAAAACCTTTGATTTTTAAGAAAAGAGGTCAAAGACGAAGACATTTAGTTTCTTTAAGGGACCAGAGACCTGGCAGATAACTCATGAAATGCCGCATCGTCCAGCTAGGAAATGACACTTCGTGTGTCCTGCTCCCAACGGACCACTGTGTGGGTTTCTTTTTTTAGCCTTAAAGGAAACAGATATTGCACAAAAGGCGCAGAGAGTCTTGGGAGATTTTCTGGCGGTGCGGGGGGGGGTGCGGGGGGTGGTGGTGGTGGCACAGGTTGTAAGACTTGGCTTCCCATGGGAGCATTAGATCTCCCCAAAATTAATTATTGCTTTTATCAAAATAATGCATGCACATTAAAGTCAGAGGGTGTTAAACGATTTTAATAAAACTCTCTTCCGTGCCATCGCCCAAGGACACTCGTCCCCATGTATCATTCATTCATTACACGATGCACTGTGGAAATTCGGACGTATTCATAAACCTGACTCATTCACACACTACTATTTTATGATACTTTATCCATAAGTATTAAATTCATGACTTTATGGAACCCGATCGTGGGCCAGGCACTGCTCCCCGAGGGACTGGGAGCAGAAGGCCCCCCGGGCCTGGACTCCCATTGGGAAGACAGGGACACACACGGAGAAGCCACAGGGACGAAAGCAGAGCGGGGCCAAGGGTGGGGCACAGGGTCAGGCGGGGAGACGCTTGTCCCGGGTGCCTCTCGGGACAAGCACCCCAGGCACGGGGGACAGGCCACACAGGCTCTGTGGTGCCAGCGTGACGGGCTCGTGGGGGTGGGAGCACCCAGCCCCCCAGAGTGGGGGTGAGGCGGCCGGGCCTCGTGCGCCCTCTGAGCTGCTTCTCTGTCCTTCTCCTGGCGTCAAATAACGGGCCGGCCCGGCTCCTCGGAGGTTTAGGCTTCAGACCCGGCTCCCATCCTCCTTCCTTGTTTTCCCCACATAGTTACATCAGAGCGGGAGGGAGCCCTCCTAGCCCCGGGGGAAACTGTCACCGAAGGGGGCGCAGGACAATGTCTGGATGCACATGGCGCCCAAATCTCCTTCTCCTGGGGGAAGGGCTCCACAAAACGAAGGAGTGACACGCTGTCAGGAAAGGCAAAGGGAGGCCCAGGGCGGACAGCGGATGGGGACCAAGGGGCATCTTCCGAAGGAAGTGGACCACTGAAGGGTCCGACGAGTCCAAGGTGCGGAAAACCACAGGTCGGTGCCAGAGGCGCAGAGTACGAAACGAACGGGGGTGGCCGTGCAGGCCGAAGGTGACGCCGTGGCGTCTTCACCAACGAGCTTCGCTGCCGACACTCCCGAGGGCTGGTGGCCCCTCGGCCAGGCCTGGGACCCCTCGTGTGCATCACCGCGATTCCTAGCTGGGCCCACGGGACACTGCCGCCGCCAGCCTAACTCACGCAAGCCGCCCACGTGTGCCACTGTCCCCACCCATCCGTCGCCAGCATGCCGATGGCCTGTGGCGTCTTTGTATCTCCAGCCAGCCCTGCGCCTGGCACGCTGGAGACAGTCGATGGTTGTTGAATGAGTATGTGAGCGAGCGGGCATTTCTGACAGGGGCTGCTCTGCACTGCGGCTGGCCGAGGAGCTGATGAACTCCGCACCTGCCGGCAGAGCCTCAGAGATGCTCACCTGTGCCGCCTGCTGCGAGGCCTGAGACGGGCATGGACGGCACGAAGCCTCGCATGTCTCGGGCCCCCGATAAATGTAACATTTTCCCCTTCTGCCCCCTCCTCCCCAGTTGAAGCCACTGCCACCCGCTGGCTGCCACCGTTGCCTCCGCTCCTGCCTCAGTTCGGTGTGTCACGCGGAGTGGGACCCCGTCGCCAGCGGTATGTGAGCGTTCCAGGGGGCGCGGGGACATTCTCGCTTTGTGTAACTAGCATAGTGACCTGTAGTGTCCCTGGGGCCGGGGCCGAGGATGAGGCTCAGTTTACGGGAGTAAAACCGTGCGTCAAATTAAAAAACATACGTCAAGTAAATAACCGGGCCGGCGCTGTCCGGGTTAAGACCGGAACCAGGAAGGAGGCCCCCCCGCCGCTGGGGTTCGGAAGCCCCCGAATT